GGAAAGAGCGTGAGTTTTGCAATGACACAGATCCAGACCAGAACCTCACCTTGGCCACTCTGAGCCTCAGTTTCCTTACCAGGAAAACGAGGATAATAAATCAATAGACCTCGCTGGGTTATTTTATGGACCAAATGAGAAAATGTGTACAAAGGGCTTGACACATTCTGGCACACAGAAGGGTCTCCAGACGTGGTGGCTATTAAATAATCCATAGTATCTCAAAGGTCTACATGCCAAGGCAAAGCGCTTAGGTGATTTAAGCGAGTTGTTTGGTTTTATAATAGAAGGTGGAGTGTACAACTTCAAAGGTTTCACCAACACAGGACTCGCTTGAGGGGATCATGGGGATGGAAGATTCTGAGGTTTTAGAGAAACAGTGCTCCTACAACTGGGGCTTGTGGAGCACAGTGCACACAAGGGGACACGTAGGTAAGAACAGAGCAGTAGATGATCAAGCAGATTGTCTAGCGCTGGAGCTGACTAGCTGTAAGATCTCGGGAAAGTTGCCTAACTACTCTGTGCCTCAGTTTCCTCATCTGTAAAATAGTTAAGAAAATTACTCACATTTATGCAACAGAATATTATATAGACATCAACATCATGTTCGGAGTTTTCTTTTAATAGCATGGTATGAGACTGTGTATAAATTATCAACATCAAAATTAAGAGAGAGAGACCCCAAAAAGAGAAATGCCTGGAAGGAAATATTAATAGTGGTAGTTCCTGGGCAGTATATGAATGATTTTTATTCTTTAAAATTTTTGTGGTTTAAAATTATCTATAATGGTTATTATTGTTTTTAGAATCATTTAAAGGTATAGAAAAAATAAAACAAAGTACAACTAGATGTTAAGAAAACTCTAAGTAAAGATGAAAATGCCTAGGTCTTCCCTGGTGGCGCAGTGGTTGAGAGTCCGCCTGCCGATGCAGGGGACACGGGTTCGTGCCCCGGTCTGGGAAGATCCCACATGCCACAGAGCGGCTGGGCCCGTGAGCCATGGCCGCTGAGCCTGAGCGTCCGGAGCCCGTGCTCCGCAACGGGAGAGGCCACAACAGTGAGAGGCCCACGTACCGCAAAAAAAAAAAAAAAGAAAAAAGAAAATGCCTACAGGACCATCTGGTAACACCTGTGGGTGGCGCTGCAGAGCTCTCAGTGGAAAGGCAGGCGTGCACCCACCCACCAGAGGGAGCCTGGCCAGCTCCTCAGGCGGGAAAACTGCTTCAGGGTTTTAAAGCTTCCCACCCCCAACCCCAGAGCGTCCCTCCTCTGCCTGCATGGAAGTCTAACTGTATATGTGAAATTTCCTAATGCTTAAGTGACAGCTAATTCGACGTTTTAAAATACAACGTTCTGGCCAAAACAATAAATGTGTGGGCTGAATCCATTCCAACTATTATAGGAAATGAAGCAGGAAACTATTAGCGAAAACAAAGGAGGGAGGGATAAAATTTATTTCACAAAAGAATGTATCACGGGTGTCCTTTAAACAGCAAGCTCCCCAGTTCAATAGAAACATGATTTGGTTAAAAAAATATTACAAGTATATATTTTTAGGAATTGCTAAAAATAAAAGCATACCTCTTTTTAGAAACTGATTATTAGAGGGGCTGCTAAATTTAAAATGATGCAGCCAAGACAATGTTGGCATTCATCTGCCCTAGGACTCATCACTCACTCGTAGAGGCCCTGCTTGGCCCAGTGTCAGCTTGGGGGGGTGCCATGGGACAGAGAGAAAGGAAGGAGACTTGGCGACCTCAGCAGCTCATACTCTCATGGGCTTTCCCCAGGAAAAGAGCCCTCCTGGATTAAATCTGTCAGCTCGCACAATCTGGGCACTGTTGCGTGTACACACAGTGGGAATCAATTCCCGTTCCTCAGCCTTAGGCTACGTACGGCACACCCCAGACCCTCCCCACTGGGCCTCAAAGCCTCTCCATAAACATCAGAACCGCCTTTTACCTTGGTGGCCTTCAGTTTCCATTCATACTGGTTCCGTTCATTTTCCAACTCTTCCACCTTGATTTTGAGGTGCCGGAGTTCTTGCAGTAACTCCTGGGGGGGTGGGGGCGGGTGAGGAAGAAAGACAGTTCTGATGGTTAAAGAACAGGATGCTCCTGGGATCTACAACCCTGGGTAAGCACATGCACAGTGGATACCAAGGCAGGAGCGACCGCATCAGGGTCCACGCTGTGGCTGGCTCCAATCTTTAAACACGATCCTTGTTTCAGGGAAAGCTATGTGCCCATTACAAAACAAAGGCCAGGGAGTTCCAGACAAAAGGAAGAGAAAACTTTCTTCTTCTTTTCAGAACTTGCTCTCGCCGCTCCTTTCTGACATCTGTGTTCCCCGCAGGGTGTGCCCAAATCATGCACGTATGTGTAGGGGGAAGGACAGGTAGCAGTTGGGAGCAAGAGAAACAGAGATGCAGAAATGAGGCAGCTTGTTACAGACAAAGTAGCAGGAAGCAGGCTAATAGCGAGCATCTGTCTGTGCTGGGGGTCAAGGAACCCAGGGGAGGAGGCCGGTGTTCCTGCAAGGCTTCACAGAGGAAGTGACAGCCAGGAGGATAGAAACAAAACGCTAAAAGGGCAAATGCTAAGTGTGAAATGCAGAAGCGGGTCTGGGTGTTCCAGTTCAGAGGAGGGGTTGGCTTGAAGAAAGGAGGGAGGGAGGGAGGCGGCGTCCAGGGAGAGGGCAGACAGCCTGCTGGGCTGGAGCACAGGATGGGCAGCATTCAGTGGGAAATGAGACGGGGAAGATAAGGTGGGGCCTTACTGTAAAGGCTTTTGGATGAGAATATGAGGCGATCTGATGCCATTCTTTAGACAGTAGGGAGCCTCTGAAGGTTGCTGAGTGGGCAAGTGACATTTAAACAACTTGCCGGTCGTGGAGCTGGAAATCAGGGCTGTATCTTCTGACCCCAGGGCCCCTGCTTTCTAAAGTACCCCTTTAGTAAAGACACCGCTGAGCACCCTTATCCCAAACCTAGGTTCCTTTAATGGACAAATGGTCCTGCTGACTGGTTTCTATCAGAAAAATTAGCATAAAAGTGATTACTTCCATAGACTTTCTGAACTCCAGATTCACATAACAAACTTCCCACAACATCTCCACATGGATGGCACAGAGGCATCTTACAACTGTCATGACCCAAGTGTAACCCTTAATTCCCCCTCGGAGACATCCCTGTCTCACTAAATGGCATCTCCATCCTGTGCCAGAAACCTGGGCTCCATCCTTGGCACCTCCTTCTGTCTTCCCCCACTACATACGTAACTCATCCCCCAAGCCTTCTAAATTCTACCTTCAAGGAAATCACCGGAATCTCTTTTACCTCAACTCTACCATCACTAGCAGTTACTGCTGAGAGCCTGGACAGCCTCTCCACTGGTTGGTCTTCTGACATCTTGCCCTTCTTGAAGCCATCGACCCGCATGTTCCAGGGGAACAATACAATTAAAGCACAAATCTGATCCTGGCCCTTCCCTGCTCCTCAAAGCTCATGAACTTTAACCCACAACCAGTACAGCCCGGCCTAACCCATCACCCTGCCTACCTCTTGTACTACTGTCTCTCTCCAGTTATGCTCCAGCCATGCTGGATACTTTTTAGTTCCTCTTTCTGACTTGGGCCCTCACACATGCCTCTCCCTCCCTCTGTCTGGAACTTTCTGCCAGGTTAACCCCTGCCCATCCTTCAGGCCGCCATGAGCAAAGCTATTCCAACCTCTACACTTCATCAGGTCCCTCTGCTATACTCTCTTGTGGCATCTGTATAATCTCTTATATCATTTGCAATTAAACAGTTACTGGTGTGATTGCTGATGGCTAGTTCTCCTGCACTGTGAACTCCGGGAGCTTTGCTAACCTCTGGCACATAGTTAGGTATATGCATTATTTCTTGATGAACCAACACTTGCAATTCAAGCCATCATTTAACTGGCCTTTGCATCCTGAGACAATCCACCAGAAAGTTCCATTGCTTACACTTGCATTGTACAGGGATATTCACTAAGATTTTCTTATAACTGAGGTGAACATTTGTTGATGCCCTTTTAGAAACGTATCTTCCAAGCTAAGGTTACTGCCTCTGTGATCCACAACATTAGACTTTAAGGCCTGTTGTGACTTGTAGCAGATCCCAGATCATTTTCTGAGAACATTTGCTGAGGAGCTGCCACGGTGGGGACACAGAGCATGATGATCTCCAGGCTCTGTGACCTCTCTGGCGCATCCTCTTCCTTCTAAGCTATTTGTTGCCCATGGTGGGCTATAAACACTGGGGCACAGTGTACCTTCTTTTACAAGTCTTTCTGGGGTAACCCACTCACCATGGAGCATGCCCAGCACCCCTCTCAGAGCTTCCCTTTCCAAATCTACACCTACATCTTGACTCTCAACTTTTTCCCCACCGAGGCCCCCTCCCCTCATGCCCAAGTCTGGGTGGAGATTTCCAGCATGTCCCATAGTTGAGTATGGATCATGGCAACTTCCTACAGATATGGCTACTACGCCCTTGACTTTCCCTTGGGTTTCCAAGTCCTCTTCGATAGGGGGCCTTAGAAGCACAGGCTCATCTCTCTGCAGCTGCCATCACAAAGGACCTGGTGACACCAGCGCAAGGGGCCAAGTCCAGAATCCCAGGCAGATACACCCGATAGGCCCCACAGGTCATGAAATCCCTCGAATGTGATTACACGGGAGAACTTTTCCCGGAAATTCAGATGATGACAGTTGTCACAGCATATGGACACTTGTGTTCTATTTTCTCACTGGGGATAAACCTCTTTAAAAATAAACTTGAGGGGCTTCCCTGGTGGCGCAGTGCTTGAGAGTCCGCCTGCCGATGCAGGAGACGCGGGTTCGTGCCCCGTTTCGGGAGGATCCCACATGCCGCGGAGCGGCTGGGCCCGTGAGCCATGGCCGCTGAGCCTGCGCGTCCGGAGCCTGTGCTCCGCAAATGGGAGAGGCCACAACAGTGAGAGGCCCGCATAACGCAAGGAAAAAAAAAAAAAAAAAAAAAAAAAAAAACTTGAGAGGATTATTTTATGATGCTATTTTTTTCTTAAATTAAAAGAAAAAAATCATGGGAGCTGAAACTTCATTTAATTTCCCAGCCCAGGAGGGAGAATCAGTGTCGTACCTGGGAAGGGGGCCCGAAGCTTGCTTTTACACCAACGCCCCGTCACTCAGGGCACCTGACACACCTCATTCCCAGCCCTGAGGGAGATGAGTACGGCCACCGGTCAGAGGGTTGGCCTCGCCAGCTCAGACCCTGCTCGGTGAGGGTCATGGAGCTCAGCTCACATCCCGAGGGGAGCGAGTCCCAAGCTCTGCCCAGAGGTGACCACAGATCCATGTTAAGCCAGCGCACGCTGCTCCAGGTAGGAGAAGCCCCAGCCCCTCCGCCAGTGAGGTGCACCACACACGCATGCTCCGATATACTTAAGTGCGGTTCCTACAGGTGACCCCTCCCAACGGGCACACTCCTGGCCGCAGGGCTGGGGCCGGGCCGCACCGTCGTCGGCTGCCACCTCCTCAGGGTGGTCCCTACTGAGTGAGAGGCGCTCTTGAATCTGCCTGTGGATGTCCAGCTGCAGCCTACACATCTGCTGCTGCAGCTCACCGATCACATTCAGAACCGACTGTAGGAAGGGAGAGAGAGGGGAAGAAAAGCACGCAGGGTCAGTCAGCGCTCAGACATGGAACTCCTTAGGAGAGCAGAACAGAAGGATAGAAGCGTACGGCAGGGGGCACACAGCGGTTGCTGTCCGTGACCATACGCTCTCTTCACAGGAACCAAAAGACGTGGCATTTTCCCTGACCTGCCCCATCCGTGGGCCTGTCTGCAGTATGGCCTTCGTGCCATACTGGGGGCCGTCCTTACATGACGGCGTCTGAGGCGCAGAGTCTAGCAAAAGTGGAGACGGGATCACATACGGATGCATCCCTTCTACACTCGCCAGCGCCCTCCCCAAACGTGCCAACACCCGTGCACAGGGGACATACACAACACGCGCATGCACCCCTCAAGAACATTTTGGCCTTTTATGGCAACTTTGGAAAATAACTGCAACCCTTGGAATTCATACCTATTCAGTTCTGAATCCCTTGCACTAGCAGCTCTGCTGGGCTTTCCTTTATCTACTCCACAGACATCTAGCGTCACTCCGCAGAGACCCAAGGCCAGTGAGCAATGGCGCTCGCAGGTGAGTGAGGAGAAACACACAAATAACAATCACGACAGGCTGTAAGTGCTACACCAATAAGACTATGGGGCTTCCAGGGAGCGGTGAGTGACTAATTCTGCCTGGGTCGAGACAAAGAGATGGGACGAGTCTAAGTGATGTGAAGTAGGCGCATTCTAGATCCCTTGCCCGTGTGGGGGAGTAAAGGAGACGAGGAGTCATGGGCCTGGCCGGCAGGGTGGATGGAGGATGGTGCCACTCATGGCAACAAGAAACCCAAGAGCCCGGGGAAGACTGAGGGCAGCTGATGGGGCCGGGGCAGGGGCATGGAGTTAAGGAGACAGTTGGCAATAGATCCCAACAGAGCCTAGGGTGGGTGGGTGGGTGGGTGGCAGCCATTTAAAGTATTTAGCCCCTCTCTGCCCACCTTTACTGACATTCTGAGCACTGGCACCTGGTACTGGGAGGTCTGCCCCCTGGCACCATGAGAACTGTCCAGGCATGCTAGAAAGAGGTTTTCCATCCCCAATAGAAACAGTGTTTCCTAAAAGAAGAATGTAGAAGGAAATGTAGAAGGAAAACTGAGGGTCCGCATGGCAGCTTGGGTCTGAGAGGGCACTGCTAGGGCCCCTACGCCAGCCTGCTCTCCCTCCAGCGATGCCACTTGAACTGGGAGACCTGCAGATGCAGGCATCGCTGTCATAAGCGGGCTCCTGGCCTCCCAGCCACTCTCTCCTGGAGATAGCTCACCTGAGTTAGCCCACAGACAGCCCCACGTTGTCTTCCCCCAGAGTCAGTCGTCAGAGGGTTGGCTTCACCTGCTTATCTGACTTCGGTAAACACCTCACACGGTGCCCTGGCACAT